GAGAGAGAGACCAGAGAAAGACCAGAGAGAGACCAGAGAGAGACCAGAGAGAGACCAGAGAGAGAGACTAGAGAGAGACCAGAGAGAGACCAGAGAGAGACCAGAGAGAGACCAGAGAGAGACCAGAGAGAGACCAGAGAGAGACCAGAGACTAGAGAGAGAGACCAGAGAGAGACCAGAGAAAGACCAGAGAGAGACCAGAGAGAGACCAGAGAGAGACCAGAGAGAGAGACCAGAGAAAGACCAGAGAGAGACCAGAGAGAGACCAGAGAGAGACCAGAGAGAGAGACTAGAGAGAGACCAGAGAGAGACCAGAGAGAGACCAGAGAGAGACCAGAGAGAGAGACCAGAGAGAGACCAGAGAGAGACCAGAGAGAGAGACCAGAGAGACCAGAGAGAGACCAGAGAGACCAGAGAGAGAGAGACCAGAGAGACCAGAGAGAGACCAGCCTCAGTCGTGGGTCCACATCCTGGATTGACGGCCGTTTGACGCGCTGTAAAAAGACGTGAACGAAAACGAATTCTGAAGTAATAATATTTATCTCTTGGATCATCAGAGTCCTCTGTAATAATGTTAATAATAATAACAATAATGATGATGTTAATATTAATGTTAATAATAATAATAGTTTATTACTGATGTCATTACTGATGTTATTACTGATGTTATTACTGATGTTATTACTGATGTGTCACGTGACGCATGAGAGAGATAAAGTCCTGAACTGCCCTGACTCCTTCCGGATTTCCAGCGGGTCGATCCTGCTCTGAGGTCCCTGTTCGGGCCCTCGCTCTCGGCCCCGGTCTCAGTCCTGGTCCCGGTGCCGGTCCCGGTCTCGGTCTCGGTCCCGGTCCGGTCGTGTCCGTCCAAGCCGAGCCTGTAGTGGATTATGTCCTCTCGTGCTTCCGTAGCTCTCAGATTACAGCCTCCTCTTCGTCACAAGGATCCATTCATTAGCCGCGCGTCAATAAGATCCGTTTCTGCACGGATTAAAGCGGGCCCGGTATTCGCGCGCACGCAGGCCTCGCATCCATTACGCCTTTAAGTTGTTCCCCTGGGGGAGGTGGGGGAGGCGGGGGAGGTTTGGGAGGAGGGGAGGAGGGGGGCAGAGATTACAGCCCCCCCAAAAAGTGTGTGTAATGTTTATTTTGAATCAATGCGCAGCGAGGAAGAGGTGTTCAGTCAATGGAAGCAAATGAGCGCGATGGATATTCACTGTGAGCTAATGAGGCACGGCTGCTCTGAGCGATCCGCGGATGTTTTCGTGCTGGGAATTACGTTAATGTTGTTTTTATTACGCGCCTGATTTGTCCAATTACGGAGACGCGCAAATAAACAGGTTTGGTTCAGAAAATGTAAATGTAGACCCAGGACTGAGGCTGTAGACCTAGGACTGAGACTGTAGACCCAGGACTGAGGCTGTAGACCCAGGACTGAGGCTGTAGACCCAGGACTGAGGCTGTAGACCTAGGACTGAGACTGTAGACCCAGGACTGAGACTGTAGACCCAGGACTGAGGCTGTGGACCTAGGACTGAGACTGTAGACCCAGGACTGAGGCTGTAGACCCAGGACTGAGGCTGTAGACCCAGGACTGAGGCTGTAGACCTAGGACTGAGACTGTAGACCCAGGACTGAGACTGTAGACCCAGGACTGAGGCTGTGGACCCAGGACTGAGACTTTAGACCCTGCAGGACTGAGGCTGTAGATCCAGGACTGAGACTGTAGACCCTGCAGGACTGATGCTGTAGACCCAGGACTGAGGCTGTAATCCCCGCGCTCACCAGCAGGGGTCTCTGATGCACCGGGCATGAGGCTGTATGCGGCCTGCTGCAGCCCAGGTGTAAATTCCAAACCCATTTATTTCTGAAACACATGATTTTAATGTTTTTGATGCTCGCGCGAGACGACGGAACGCGACGAGAAAATGCAGAAAATTATAACATTATTTTTATTATAATTTAACAATAAAAGTATATTAATTAAGTTAGTTTTAATTAATATAAAAATATAAAGTTTAGACAAACGTCTCTTAATCTCAATAATCTGTCGTCTGTTTGGTTTTAGACACGGATTAAAATATGTCACGTGATTTGTTCGTTACTATTATAATTATTTCTAAGTTTATATGTTTAGTCCTTCTTCATAATGACTTCAAACACGCGCTGCTTTGATCTCTGCTCTAATGACATGACACACAGATTATTACACGGATTAATAACACAGATTAATATTCTGTCTACACCGCGGTCCTAAGGGTCACTCCACAAACGCTCAAATATTGACTCAGGACTCAGCGCGGCGCGGGAAAGACGCGCACAAAACCCGCTGTTCCGACATGGGATTAAAGTCACAATAAAGAGCAGATTAAAGTCAGAATAAGGAGCGGATTAAACCCAGATTAAGAGCAGTTCTCACCGATGGCGCAGGTCGAGGCGCAGGTCGAGGCCAGTTTGCGGCAGTGGGACTCCATCAGTGCGGGTCTGCGGCGGAAGTCTGCGGGAAGAGAGAGAGCGGGACATTTAACTACATTGGGTTTAAACAATCAAGTGTGCGCATGCGCAGAGACCGGACGGACGAGACAAATACGGGGGATTTTAGTAAAAGAAAGAAACAGTTATTTTTATTTATTTATCCTGGACTGGTTTGGCAGGATTGTAGATGACTGAGACTGTAGTCCTGGGCCTACAGCCTCAGTCCTGGGTCTACAGCCAGTCCCGCTCCCTCTGGACCTTGTGCGTTTGTTATTGTTTCTGATTCTCTGATCTGTTGTTGGTGATCCACAACTGCAGGGTCCTCTGAGGCTGCGGTTTGGGGCAGACGCAGATAAATGGGATTGAAAGTGTGCGTAAAGAGACTGGAGCCTTTCTGCTCATGATTGAACTCATTCAGAGACGGATCAATATTTAGCGACAGAGCGGGGGTAAATAAAGTGTGTAATCTTACAATCTGAGCTTTAACGGCTTCAATCAGACTGAGCGGGGCGTGAGGAGCGCGCGCAGGAGGCCGCTCTCTGCTTTGATGTGATTTTACAGAAGGCGACACTTTACTTTCATTCAATCTGAAGAATAACACAAAGACACAGCATCGACCGGAGCCGCACTGACGTCATCACGTCATTCACTCTGATGGATCCATTACCGACGCAAAAACACGTGACCATAAACATGACGTGTGTTTGAGAGAGACCAGAGAGAGAGACCTGAGTGAGAGACCAGAGCGAGAGAGAGAGACCAGAGAGCGAAAGAGACCTGAGAGAGACCAGAAAGAGAGAAACCAGAGAGAGAGACCATATGAGAGAGAGAGAGAGACCAGAGAGAGACCAGAGACAGACCAGAGAGAGAGACCAGAGACAGACCAGAGAGAGAGACCAGAGGGAGACCAGAGAGAGACCAGAGAGAGAGATCAGAGAGAGACCAGGGAGAGACCAGAGGGAGACCAGAGAGAGAGACCAGAGAGAGACCAGAGAGAGAGACCAGAGAGAGCGAGACCAGAGAGAGACCAGAGAGAGAGACCAGAGAGAGAGACCAGAGGGAGACCAGAGAGAGACCAGAGAGAGAGATCAGAGAGAGACCAGGGAGAGACCAGAGGGAGACCAGAGAGAGAGACCAGAGAGAGACCAGAGAGACCAGAGAGAGCGAGACCAGAGAGAGACCAGAGAGAGACTATGAGAATAATGAACCAGAAAAGACTCTTTACAGTCTCTGATGGTAAAGGGAGATGGAGACTTATGCTCAGGGTCAAGAGCGGAGCGTGTGTTTTTCACTGGAAAATAGAAACATGTTTATTTGACACGAAGCACAAGATCACAGCGAGATTTCATCCTCAACACATCAGTATGAGAGACGTGCGTGTGCGTGTGTGTGTGTGCGTGTTTGTTTGTGCAGTGTGTGTGTGTTTGTCGCTCTCTCTATGTGTGTGTGAGCAGTATATGTGCTTGTGTTTGTCTCCATGTGTGCAGTGTGTGTGTATGCAGTGTGTGTGTGTGTGTGTGTCCGTGTGTGCGTGTGCAGTGTGTGTGCGTGTATGCTGTGTGTGTGTGTGTGTGTGTGTGTGTGTGTGTGTGTGCAGTGTGTGTGTGTATGCAGTGTGTGTGTGTATGCAGTGTGTGTGTGTATAAGAAGGGGAGGGGGCTCGCGGCCTCTCCTCGGTCCCGCTCTGAATCATGGGGGATTAGTGTCTGATTGAGATGTCTGTCGGAGGGATATTACAAAATTCATTATCGCAGCTTCTTGATATATGTGGAGTTACGCAGATGGTTTTATTAGCCCCGCGCGCGCTGTTTGTCTATGCTAATGTGCGCGCGCGGCTCCAGGCAATCTGCATGAGGCTTGTTAACCACTTTCTCCTCTCATTCACCTGTGTGTGTGTGTGTGTGTCTCTGCGTGTGTGTTTACGTGTGTGTCTGTCTCCGTGTGTGTGTGTGTGCATGTATGTCTGTGTGTGTATGTCTATGTGTGTCTCTGTGTGTGTGTGTGTGTGTGTGTGTGTCTGTGTGTGTGTGCGTGTGTGTGTGTGACATGGGCTGAACCTGAGTCTTGTGCAGGTGAAGGTTGCTGCGTGTTCTTCTAATCACTGCTCTTTTTAACTAGAGGCCAATACCCCGGATGTGCGGCTCTCTGGACCCTGGGACCGCGGCGGTGTGTGTGTGTGCGTGTGTGTGCATGCTTACGTGTGTGTCCGTGTGTGTCTGTGTGGTTTGTCTCGTCGTTAACACAAATGATCAATTCTACAAATTAAATGTGATCGAAACTGTGGAGTTTTATTTGGACTGAAGCGGATTGTATCGAGCGGAAAAACTGTCTGTAATAATAGTATTACAGCAGTTTCATGGTAGTAGAAGTAGAAGTAGCGGTAGTAGTGGCAGTAGTAGCAGTTTTAGTAGTGGTTGCAGTAGTAGAAGTAGTAGTAGCAGTATAGTGTCAGTAGCAGTAGTAGTGGGAGTAGCAGTAGTAGTAGCAGTAGTAGTAGTGGTTGCAGTAGTGGTAGTAGCACGGGCCTCGCTACGCAGGGCCTTGCTACGCACGGGCCTCGCTACGCACGGGCCTCGTCACGCACGGGCCTCGTCACGCACGGTCCTCGCTACGCACGGTCCTCGCTACGCACGGTCCTCGCTACGCACGGTCCTCGCTACGCACGGCCCTCGCTACGCACGGTCCTCGCTACACACGGTCTTCGCTACACACGGTCCTCGATACCCACGGTCCTTGCTACACACGGTCCTCAATACGCACAGGCCTCGCTACACACGGTGTAGCGAGGCCTTGTTACGCACGGGCCTCGCTACACATGGTCCTCGTTATGCACAGGCCTTGCTACATACGGGCCTCGTTACGCACGGGCTTTGTTACACACGGTCCTCATTACACACGAGTAATCATCTTTCCCTTTGGGCAGATGCACCCAATGTATATTTGTGTGTGTGTGTGTGTATACACACAAATATATGAGTGAGTGTGTGTGTGTGTGTGTGTGTATGTGTGTGACATTTCGGGATCCTTTTGTTATGTCCTGTTGATAAATCTAGTTTTAAAGAACAGTCAGATTAAGACTGTAGTCTGAAGAATAAAGAGTGTGGACTCCTGCAGAGTGCTCCTTGGTCTCCTCCTCATGGACATGTGTCTCTGTGTGTGGACTCCTGCAGAGTGCTCCTTGGTCTCCTCCTCATGGACATGTGTCTCTGTGTGTGGACTCCTGCAGAGTGCTCCTTGGTCTCCTCCTCATGGACAAGTGTCTCTGTGTGTGGACTCCTGCAGAGTGCTCCTTGGTCTCCTCCTCATGGACCTGTGTCTCTGTGTGTGGACTCCTGCAGAGTGCTCCTTGGTCTCCTCCTCATGGACCTGTGTCTCTGTGTGTGGACTCCTGCAGAGTGCTCCTTGGTCTCCTCCTCATGGACCTGTGTCTCTGTGTGTGGACTCCTGCAGAGTGCTCCTTGGTCTCCTCCTCATGGACCTGTGTCTCTGTGTGTGGACTCCTGCAGAGTGCTCCTTGGTCTCCTCCTCATGGACCCGTGGACAGTTTAAAGTCCTCAGAGGAACCCGTGGTTTAGACTGAGTTAAACTGAACATTTTTGCCATAAATAAATACATCCTACAAAAAGAGACACAGAACTCTGAGGATTCTCCTTTGGCCAACGCCGTCTGTGTGTACTGTGTGTACTGTGTATACCGTGTGTACTGTGTGTACTGTGTATACCGTGTGTACTGTGTGTACTGTGTATACCGTGTGTACTGCGTGTACTGTGTGTACTGCGTGTACTGCGTATACTGTGTGTACTGCGTGTACTCTGTGTACTGTGTACGATGTGTACTGTGTGTACTCGTGTACTCTGTGTACTATGTGTACTGCATTTACTGTGTGTACTGCGTGTACTGTATACTGCGTAACTTTATGCGCTAATGAGATATAGTAACAAGTATTAAAAACAATGATAATGATTTCACTGTTGAACACGAGCTCCTGGTTTCTAACGAACATTTGTGTGGATATATATAAACAAATAAGATATATATATATATATATATATATATATATATATATATATATATATATATATATATATATATATATAGGAGCACTATATATATATATATCCACGTCTCTAACTGGAACCGGGAGAACGGAGCCGCGGAGGCGCGCGCCGGTGAGTTCCCGCGGCTCACTTCAGTGATTTAACAACAAACATGAAGCAGTTTTTGAAGCATTTATGTCTCAACAAATACACGGCTGTGACGTCACATGTTCAGGTATTTACATGTTTAACGTTTACAGAGAGAAGATCAGAAGGGCGCGTTTGTTTAGAGACAAATCAATGTTTCAATGTTTGTAAGTATAATTTATTTATATGTCTAATACTATAATGTATATTGAATAATGTAGTGTAGTGTAGTATAATGTATAATATAGTATAATGTAGTATAATGTAGTTAAGGAAGTATATTGTAGTATATTTGGAATATAGTGTATTTCAGCAGCGTACGCGCAGTATAATAAATGTAATTTATATGTAATATAAACAAATACATGAACCAAAGTCTGCAATAATAATATTAATAATAATTTAAATAATAATAATAATAATAATAATAATAGAGAATAATAAAAGCTCAGTGTTTTTATCTCACTCTGATCCAGCGGGTTAAAAACATTTAGTCTGATTAAAGAAGTGTTTCCTCCAAAGACCCGCTTTGTCCCATTGATAAATCTGGTTTTAAAGAACGGCAGAATGTGTCAGATTAAGACACATAGCAGAATTTGTAGCGATTTCTGATTTGTTTCTCATCAGTTTGTGCAGTGATGTGTAAATGTTTAAATATCCATAAAAACTTATAATTGTGTCCGAGCAAAGAATGACCTCCCGCGGAGAATTTAGACTGAAATGTGTTAAAGAACCAACATGATCTCTGTGTTAGAGTTAGACAGCCATGTCCAGGCTTCAGTCTGAGCAGCAGACTCCCGCTCCTACCCGCTCCTCTCGCCGGTCCTACCCGCTCTTCTCCCCGACTCATACCCGGTCCTCTCCTTAGTCCTCTCCTTACTCAGTCCTCTCCCCAGTCCTCTCCCCAGTCCTCTCCTTACTCAGTCCTCTCCCCAGTCCTCTCCCCAGTCCTCTCCCCAGTCCTCTCCCCAGTCCTCTCCCCAGTCCTCTCCTTACTCAGTCCTCTCCCCGATCCTCTCCTGGTCCCCAGTCCTCTCCCCAGTCCTCTCCCCGGTCCTCTCCCTTGTCCTCGGTCCTCTCCCCGCTCCCCCACCCGGTTGCCCACCCCCTGCGCCCCATCAGCGGCTCTTTGCTCGCGCTAATCCCACTCGTCCATGCGTCCTCACTCGCTTCACAGGCGGGCGGCTGTTCGGGACCGTGGCATCGGGCCCAGTGCCGACAGAAAGCTGGCAGCCGCGGCGCGTTTGTGGCATTATCGCTCTATAGGCCGCGGTCATGCGCGCATTGACACTACATCTGCCATTAAGGGAAGAAAGTGGAAAACGCCAAGTGTGAAGTTGAGAAAAATAGTTTGAATTGATCCATGAAGACGTGTGTGTGTGTGCGTGTGCGTGTGTGTGTGTTGCAGCCTGAGGTGAACCCTGCGCTTCTGTCTTTGATAAACTTGTCTGTATGTATTTATGCAGTTCTGTCTTTTGTCTGTTTCTGTTCAGTCTTCACCAAAGTCTTCATCAGAACCCGCTCCTTCTGCTCCGCGGCCTCTTCCTCTGATCCGCTTCATCACAGCTTTATGTCCTCACGTTTCTATGTGAAAATATATCAAGGCTCTATTTCTCCGCAAAGACTTTTTCGCCAAAGATTTCGTTAATTTATAATGAAGCAGTTTTGAAATTAATCTTCATCTTTGTCTTGTTTGAGGCGCTGTGTCCTTCTTTCTCTTTATTATAATAATATATATGTATAATTATATTTATGTATAATAACATATATGTAAAATAATATATGTATAATAATATATTATTATACATATATTATTAAACAGTATATATATATACTGTTTGATAACATTGTTGTATATTAATTTATATGTTTGTGTGTAATTATAGAAGCCCGTCACTGTCCGCGGTCTCCTCAAAATGACGCACAAAATGACGCATAACATTCAGGGTTTAAAGTTAAAGTCTCTGTGTACCTGTGTATATAAGTACCTGTGTCTCTGTGTATATAAGTACCTGTGTATAAAAGTACCTGTGTCTCTGTGTATATAAGTACCTGTGTATAAAAGTACCTGTGTCTCTGTGTATATAAGTACCTGTGTATAAAAGTACCTGTGTCTCTGTGTATATAAGTACCTGTTCTCTGTGTATATAAGTACCTGTGTCTCTGAGTACCTAACGATATACGGGGATAGACAGCGGACGATCACATCATTAATAATAATAATAATAATTATTATTATTATTGTTTATGTGAGTGATTCATTGAAATCAGTAGTTAATGATAAATATGTGTTGTTTCCGGTTCCGCGCAGATCTGAGTGAAGCGGCAGCGCGTGTCCCGGGGTCCCTGACTCTCCCCGTTCCCCGCAGCCTGGACCCACGGCTGTTCCAGACTACTACAGGAAGAGGCAGAGGTGTTACGCGCTCATGCAGAGGTCACACGCACAAAATACTGTCCAGTTTTAACTTCAAGAAATTAAGAAATGACGCAGTAAATTATAATGACTGTTTTTAGGCCTAAATATAATGTTTTCCATGTTCTCCGCGGGGAAAGCAGCAGACACACGTGCGGAACAGATAAATGTAGTCCATAAAAGTCGTGGTTGAGACAGACATTTACAGCAGCGCGTGCGTGAAGCGTGTTTTCGTTTCTTTCCACCGACAAAAGAAGCTGGAATTCCAGGATTGATCACGTAATTACGCCCTGGATTATACACTGGCTCACGTTATTACAAAGATGATTCCTAAGTCATGACGCAGAGGCCCAGTTCCCACAGACACACACACACACACACACACAGACGCACACACACACACACACACACACACACACACACACACACACACACACACACACACACACACACACACACACACACACACACACACACACACACACACACACACACACACACACTGCATACACACACACACACACACACACACACACACCGCGCTCTGGCTGCATCCGTCACCGCTAACAGATCCATCACCGCGGGCCGGGCCTCTCCTCTCGCCCCGCTGCTCCGCTCCAGCCTCCGCTTTGAAAGTCACGGAGCAGGGGAAGGGGGTGAGGAGCGCGGGGAGGGGGTGAGGAGCGTGGGGAGGGTGAGGAGCGTGGCGAATCCCCCCACTCGCCCCCAGTCACACTCCGAGGCGCAGAACTTACCCAGTCCTTTCTCTTCTCCCGTGCGTAAAAAGTTGTTGGAAAAACGTAAAATCCGAGCGGTGTCTGCGGTGAGAGTGGAAAGGCGCCTCTCCGTGCGCGTGCAGTCAGTCCGCGCGTGTGCGTGTGCAGCTGTACGGAGGTCCTCTCGCACTCATGGGCTTATGTTTCTCTGAGTAACTTTTCACTGCTCCACGGACGCTCTCCTGCAGCAGTGGCGCATATTTGCCTCACGCTCTTTTAGATCCGTGAGAGAGAGACCCCGCTCCAAAAGGGGAGTGTTATAGTCCTGCGTGGACACGTGTGCGCAGCAGCAGCAGCAGCAGCAGACTTTATTAGCTTATTATTTTATAATTTAATTATTCTGTTATTCTATTATTTAATAATTGTATAATTATTTTATTTAGTTCTTCTATTCTTCTGTTTTCTTTAATGATAAATCCTGCTGAATCTGAGCCTCTGCAGTTTCTCCTTTTATGCTGTTAAATCTGACATTTCTCTGAGACATGAAGAAGAAACACATAAAGACAGCAGCCGAGGAAGTGCCATCTGAGGAGCCGACTGCACCACGAGCAGAGACATAGGCTCCAGACCCCCAGGTCCAGACCTGCGTCTCCCGCTGCAGAGGCCGCAGAGGAACCACTAAAGTAATATATCGTTGACCTCAGAGTTCATAATACAGAGTAAAAACAGAGTAAATAGAGTAACTACATAGTCCGCGTGGACGGAGTTCCTCCGGCTGCTGCGGGTGAGACTGTCCGACTGTGACAGTTTCTAAATTCGAAATGAAATATTTCTGTCTGCGCGTGACAGAGATCATTATGGATCATTCAGTGTCTTTTCGGTTCGTGATGAACTGGTGTTTTTACGCACACGCACACACACGCGCGTGCACTCACACTCATGACCACGCACGCACAACACACGCACCCACCCACACACTCATGCAGATGTTCAGACTTTCCCTTTAATCCGCCGCACTGTTTTATGCAGCAGAATAATACGGATGTATTGACACAGACACAGAGACGCACGCGGAGGAAACATCAGCAACTTACTGTGATTTTCTAATCTGTTCCACCTTGTTTAACACTGATCGTGTCTTAATGTGTGTGTGTGTGTGTGTGTGTGTGTAAAATAAAATAAAAACAAATATGCACGGATTTGAAGCATCCGCCCCCCCTCAAACCCTCTACACCCCCTCCGCCCCTCTACACCCCCCCCCCCCCCACCTTCGCAGCCAGCCCTTCGCGTAATCCCGCGTTTACATTTTTAGTCATACTCCTAATTAATGCGCGCTCCACATGGGAATCTCCTCCGTGAGAGAGACAGAGGGGAGGGGGGAGAGAGGGGGAGAGGGGGAGAGGGGGGAGAGACGGGGAGGATGTTGTCAACCCGTGCGTAAAAGGTAAAAGTGCGTGAGCCCGTACATTATACACAGAAGAAGCAGACAGGCCGCAAGTGACGTCACTGTGCTGGCACGTGAACGCGCTTTAAGTCAAAACAGGCCTCACCGTAACGACGTGAGCGCGCGGCAGCCTCATCCACGCGCGGCCGTTTTTACCCACAATGGCCCGCGCCAAGGAGGATATTTGTATCTAATGTGAAACATTAGTGTGAATCAGGAGGAGCTGTTTGTCACGCATGCGCAGTGACAGTTATAGACTTTTTACTCACAATACACCGCCTTTCTCTGAGACCAACCAGCAGGACTCAACAGGACTCAGCAGGACTCAACAGGACTCAGCAGGTCTCAACAGGACTCAGCAGGACTCAACAGGACTCAACAGGACTCAGCAGGATTCAACAGGACTCAACAGGACCCAGCAGGACTTAGCAGGACTCAGTAGGACTCAACAGGACTCAACAGGACTCAGCAGGACTCAACAGGACTCAGCAGGACACACATGACTCAGCAGGACTCAACAGGACTCAGCAGGACTCAGCAGGACTCAGCAGTGATAATAAATGACATTAACATAAAGAGCTCTGGGAGAGCGAGTAGTAAATAAATAACTACATAAAGTAATAAATAGTATGGCGCTTCACAGACTTAAAAAAAAGAAGGATCTGAGTCCTGCTGAGTCTGAACATGTCTGTCAGACTGTACAATGAGTCCTGCTGAGTCTGAACACATCTGTCAGACTGTACAATGAGTCCTGCTGAGTCTGAACACATCTGTCAGACTGTACAATGAGTCCTGCTGTGTCTGAACACGTCTGTCAGACTGTACAATGAGTCCTGCTGAGTCTGAACACGTCTGTCAGACTGTACAATGAGTCCTGCTGAGTCTGAACACGTCTATATGTATATATATATATATATATATATATATATATATATATATATATATATATATATATATATATATACATACATACATACATACATATATATATGTATATATTACAGCTGTGTCTGTTGTTTGCTCCTGTGTCTCTCACTGTCCTGTGCGCTGACATTGACATTTCCTCACTGAGGGAGGAATAATCTCTGATCTTTTCTTTTTAATTTAATAGTTACTTTACTTTGCTCAAAAAGACAAGATTAAAAAAGATTTTCTTTTATTTGTGTGAACTTTTCATTGTCGAAACATTTTCTTTTGAACTGAATGAAAACAATATTCTTTAAACATGTTAAAGTCTCAGAACATCAAAGATGAACCGGGCCCAGAACTGAACCATGTGGGACCCCACCATCTGCTGCTATAGTGTGTTTACTACTAAACTACACTGGATTATAAACTACTGGATTATAAACTACTGGATTATAAACTACTGGATTATAAACTACTGGATTATAAACTACTGGATTATAAAATACTGGATTATAAACTACTGGATTATAAACTACTGGATTATAAACCACTGGATTATGAACTACTGGATTATAAACTACTGGATTATAAACCACTGGATTATAAACCACTGGATTATAAACTACTGGATTATAAACTACACTGGATTATAAACTACACTGGATTATAAACTACTGGATTATAAACTACACTGGATTATAAACCACTGGATTATAAACCAGTGGATTATAAATCAGTGGATTATAAACTACTGAATTATACACTACACGGGATTATAAACTACACTGGATTATAAACTACACTGGATTATAAACTACACTGGATTATAAACTACACTGGATTATAAACTACTGCATTACAAACAACTGCATTATAAACTACACTGGATTATAAACCACTGGATTATAATCTAATGCATAATAAACTACACTGGATTATAAACTACTGCATTATAAACTACACTGGATTGTAAACCACTGGATTATAATCTACTGCATAATAAACTACACTGGGTTATAAAATACTGCATTATAAACTACACTGGATTATATACTACTGCATTATAAACTACACTGGATTATAAACTACACTGGATTAAAAACTACTGCATTATAAACTGCTGGATTAAAAACTACACTGGATTATAAACTACTGCATTATAAACCACGGCATTATAAACTACACTGGATTATAAACCACTGGATTATAAACCACTGGATTATAATCTATTGTATAATAAACTACATTGGATTATAAACTACTGCATTATAAACTACACTGGATTATAAACCACTGGATTATATACTACTGCCTTATAAACTACACTGGATTATAAACTACACTGGATTAAAAACTACTGCATTATAAACCACTGGATTAAAAACTACACTGGATTATAAACTACTGCATTATAAACCCCTGGATTATAAACTACACTGGATTATAAACTACACTAGATTATAAACTACTGCATTATAAACCACTGGATTATAAACTACTGCATTATAAACTACTGGATTATAAACCACTGGATTATAAACTACTGGATTATAAATTAGTGCATTATAAACTACTGAATTATAAACTACACTGGATTATAAACTACTGTATTATAAACTACTGTATTATAAACTAGTGGATTATACACTACTGGATTATAAACTACACCGGATTATAAACTACTGCATTATAAACCACTGGATTATAAACTACTGCATTATAAAGTACTGGATTATAAACCACTGGATTATAAACTACTGGATTATAAATTAGTGCATTATAAACTACTGAATTATAAACTACACTGGATTATAAACTACTGGATTATAAACTACTGTATTATAAACTACTGTATTATAAACTAGTGGATTATACACTACTGGATTATAAAATACACCGGATTATAAACTACTGCATTATAAACCACTGGATTATAAACTACTGCATTATAAACTACTGGATTATAAACCACTGGATTATAAACTACTGGACTATAAATTAGTGCATTATAAACTACTGAATTATAAACTACACTGGATTATAAACTACTGGATTATAAACTACTGTATTATAAACTACTGTATTATAAACTAGTGGATTATACACTACTGGATTATAAACTACACCGGATTATAAACTACTGCATTATAAACCACTGGATTATAAAATACACTGGATTTTGAACTACACTGGATTATAATCTACTGGTTTATAATCTACTGGATTATAAACTACTGGATTATAAACCACTGGATTATAAACCACTGGATTATAAACTACTGCATTATATACCACTGCATTATAAACTACTTGATTATAAACCACTGGATTATAAACTACTGGATTATAAACTACACTGGATTATAAACTACTGGATTATACACTACTGGATTATAAACCGATGGATTTTACACTACTGGATTATAAACCACCGGATTATAAACCACTGGCTGTCGTTGTGTCCTTGGGCAAGACACTTAACCCCACTTTGCCCAAAACCCCCACTGAAAGATCAAGGCTATGCTCACACTCAGAGAGCAGCCGTCCTCCTGTGGACTCACCACCTGCAGAGGGTCAGTGAGGGGCTGGTGCTATGAGACTTGGGTGGCATCTCTGACTGCCACCCCCCTGACCCAGAAATGGATTAAAGGGTAGAAAATGGATGGATGGATGGATGGATTATAAACTACTGCATTATAAACCACTGGATTATAAACTACACTGGATTTTGAACTACACTGGATTATAATCTACTGGTTTATAATCTACTGGATTATAAACTACTGGATTATAAACTACTGCATTATAAACTACACTGGATTATATACTACTGCATTATAAACTACACTGGATTAAAAA